TGTGGTGAGTTGGGTTTTAAACCCATACCTGTCTGGGCTCTTTTTCTCATGCCACAGACACTTCGTAGAGGTTGGGAACCCAAAACAGGGTAGAGCCAGCCTAAGAAGCACTGCAGTGAGGAGCCGGGAGGGCAAGACTACTGGAATGAGGGCAGCTGGTCTTTGTGGTGGAGATGACCTGAGAGACACCATGATGAGGAGCCCAGGCTCTGGCTACCACTCAGCTGAGGGGCCTTGCAGGAAACTTTAGTTCTCTGAGTTTCCACTTCCTCCACTGGAAAACAGGATGGTTCTAAGAATTTCATGAGCTACAAAACTTACTGTGTTTAGCAAGGTGCCTTCCATGTTTCACACTCCTTTTATGTGAGTTCTCTCTACTCCTTCTGTCACTATTCTCATAGATCTTAAAACCTCTAAAGCATACCATAAAGATTTTCATGTTCAGTGAAAAGATTTTGAGGGAACACAGCTGAGTTTTTGGTTTTAGCAAAACATATGCCAGCCTACTTTCATGATCTTTAAGAAAGTAAATTTTCCACTTAGAGAACAGACAGGGTCTATTCTCAGTTCTAGACAGGTGTCGTTCAGTAGGGCAGGTGAAACACCCCAGAGCTGGAGTATCAGTCTTTGCAACATGAAAGTCCCCATTTGGAAGTTACACACAGGAAAAAGTTTGACCCTAAAATGTCCTTTTGGATCTACTTCCAATGACCAATGACAAAGGAATCTTTGGTGTGGTCTCTGAGGGCCAAGATCTATCAGCAGAAGATGGTCTTTTGCAGCAGAATGGGGGAGAGATCATTGGGTGTTACTTAAGATAAGGGTGTCAAGATATGAACATTTAAAGGTCATTGGGCTAGTCAAGAGGCACAGGCCAGCAATGTGACTGTGAACAAGTCACTTAACTTTTGTGAGCCACAGCTTTCAAATCTATAAAAGGAAGATAATTAGATAATTTCTTAAGTCCTTTACAACTTTTAGGATTCTCTAGGATTTTGAGTTTTAGAAGAAAAGTTCTTGATAGAAATATTATTTTAACAATAATTGGTAACTGCCCCAGCTTGAGCACATGTGTTAATTTGTTCATAGTCTGAGTTAGATTTACATTTGTGCCTTTGACAAAATAAGTATTGGCTTTTTAGATGTTTGGATTTACCATGAGACTTGTGTATTGACATGGTTCTCAGAGCAATTTCAGAGCCCAGGGAACTGCTAATGATTCTAGCAATCTTGCAGTAGGTTATTCATTCTTTGGTATTTGGTTTGACATTTATTTTTATTTTTCAGCCTTATTGATTTAAATATCATTAGCCCAAAAATGCACCAAAGGGTAATTGCATTGACTATTTTTGCTCTACTTAGCTATTTCTTTGCAATTCATCTTTTATGGCAAAACTTCCCTTGTGAACAGGCCAGACAAGCTGAGTCTGAGCTTTAGTCACACCTTCCAAGCAAGTGGGCAGTCTATTTTAGAGGTGAAGAAGCAAATCACAGAATAGGAGAAAACACTTGCTAAATGGCTGATTTGGAACTGTCAATTTGAGAGACTGTAGGTTAGGAGAGGAATGAATGAAGCTATTGAATTGTATTGTATTTAAAAAGAAAGAAGTGCCCAGCCAGCATAGCTCAGTGGTTGAGGGTTGACCTATGAACCAGGAGGTCACGGTTCAATTCCCCGTCAGGGTATATACCCAGGTTGCAGGCTCCATCCCTAGTGGAGGGTGTGCAGGAGGCAGCCAACCAATGATTCTATCTCATCATTGATGTTTCTATCTCTCTCTCCCTTCCTCTCTGAAATCAATAAACATATATTTTAAAAAGAAAAGAAAAGAAAGGAAAAGAAAAGAAAGTATAATAAACCAATTATGATAGAATTGTAGGCAACCCATTGAAAAATCTCCCTGATTGATTGTAGATTGCACAACATGGATTAATTTAAGATTCAAGTAACCTAAAGATTTCTAGATGCCCAGCAAAGAAGAAAGAGAGAATCTTTTGGTCTGTAGGATCTTATAAACAGTATATCTTTCCTCCCATGGGGTCAGAGCTTAGAAAAAAGAAAAGAATAAGAATGCTTCTGTCATCTAGAAATTTAAACATTTTTTGTAAACTTATTTTTTGAAGTCTACTTTTTCTAATTGAGATTTTAAATCCAGGGGAGATTGGGTTTGTATTGAAGGAATCTCCCACTATCATCTTACCCTTCTAGATTATCTGTCATAATACTAACGTGCGTTCAGCTGTGAGTGAAGGGAAGTGCTAACTGGTGGGCTTAACCCTCCACTGAAGCAGTTTTCCCCACAACCCTTCTGCTAAGCTTGTGCTGTGGATCTTACTTTCATAATTGACCCACCAGTTCCCTGTCTTCTGGAAATAAAAAAGAGTCAGCCACAATGTGGAAAAAAGAGACAAGGAACAAAAACTAGGCAGCAAAAGCAAAAATAATCAAGTGGCACTACATCAAACTAGAAAGAGTCTATACAACAAAGGAAACCATCAACAAAATGAAAAGGCAACCTACGTAATGGAAAAAATATTGCAAGTATATATCTAATAAGGGGTTAATATCCTAAATATATAAGGGACTCATACAACTCAATAGAAAAGAACCAAACACCTGATTTAAAGTAGGGCAGAGAAACCAAAGAGATGTTTTTTCCAAAGAAGACACAAATGGCCAGCACATACATGAAAGGTGCTCAACATCACTAATAGTCAGGGAAATGCAAATCAAAACCATAGTGAGGTATCACTGTCATGATGGCTATTATAAAAAATATTAGAAATAACAATGTTGGTGAAGATGTGGAGAAAGGGAACCCTTGTGCACTGTTGGTAGACATGTAAATTGGTATAGCCACTGTGGAAAGCAGTATGGAGGTTCCTCAAAAAATAAAAAATATATATAACTACATATAATCTAGCACCTTCACTTCTAGAGATTTGTCTGAAGGAAACAAAAACACTCTCTTGAAAAGGTATCTGCAACCCATGTTCACTGCAACATTACTTACAATAGTCAAGACATAGAAATAGTCTAAGAGTCCGTCGGCAGATGAATAGGTAAACATGATGTGATATATATATATAATGGATTATTCAACCATAAGAAGAAGAAAATCTGCCTTTTGTGACAACATGGATGGAACTTGATGGCATCATGCTGAGTGAAATAGGTCCGGCAGAGAAAGACATACCATATGATATCACTTATAAGTGGAATCTTTTTTGAAAATGCACTGATAGAACAGATTGGTGGTTGCCAGAGGTGTGGGGTGGAGGACCAGAGAAATGGGTGAAGGGGGTCAAAAGGCACAAACTTCCAATTATGAGATAAATAGGTTCTGGCAATGCAATGTGCAGCATGGTTAACAACACTGTATTGTATATTTGAAAGTTGCTAGGAGAGTAGATCTTAAAAATTCTCATAGCATAAAAAATTTTAACTATGTGTGGTGATGGATATTAATTAGACTTATGTTGGTGATCATTTTGCAATATATACATATATCAAATCATTATGTTGTACACAGAAAACTAATGCAATATTATATATATCAACTAGAAGCCCGGTGCATGAAATTCATGTATGGGAGGGGTGTCCCTCAGCCTGGCCTGCACCCTCTCTAATCGGGTACCCCTCGGGGGATGTCCCTGCAGCATTGTACCTAAACCAGCATTTGGACATCCCTCTTACAATCCGGGACCACTGGCTCCTAACTGCTCACCTGCCTGCCTGCCTGATTGCCCCTAACCACTTCTGCCTGCCAGGTTGATTGCCCCCTAACCGCTCCCCTGCCAGCCTGATTGATGCCTAACTGCTCCCCTGCCAGCCTGATCACCCACAACTGCCCTCCCCTGCTGGCTGATCACCTCCAGCTGCCCTCCCCTGCCGCAAACTACCTCCTCCGCCAGGACCGGCCTCCTCTGCACTGCACAGAGCCGTGGGACCCCCATGCCTCACTGCATAAAGTGGCTTCCAGGCCACACCTCCACTGTGCATGTGGCCATCTTGTGACAGCCATCTTGTGGTGACATGAGGGCATGATGCCACCTAAGCTATTATTAATATAGATTATAGCTCAATAAAGTATTTTAATAAAAACTCATATTTCTGTAGAGATCCCATTTTGTGAAGAGTCTGTGTACTTTTACTGTCCAACCCCCCCCCGCGCCCCCCCACACACACATTTCTCAATATTTCTTCTCCCACATTCTAGAATTTCTTCCCTATGCAAGGTCAGTCTTTTCTCATCCAAGTCTGCAAACCTGAAATACTCAAGCCTAGATTTGTAATACCAAGCATCTCAAGAAATGTTGGCATATTCTCCCAGAAATCCTAATTCATTCAAATTAAACTTTAAAAAGTGTATTTTCTGTCTTAAAAATTGAGGGCAGACTCTGGTTTCCAGTTCTGAGTATAAGGAATTTGGAAGCTGCCACACCAGCCTAATAGCAACTAAAATGCTGGACAGATTGAAAAATTAACAGCTCTTACTGGATTTGTAGGAGATGGGAGGAAAGAGGGCAAACACTCTCCCTAAGACTGGAGAAACAGACAGGAGAATACAGGGAGTCATAACTTAAAGGATACATGTGTGTGTGTGTGTGTGTGTGTGTGTACTATATATATATACTAGAAGCCCAGTGCACAGAATCGTGCACCGGTGGGGTCCCTCAGCTCGGCCTGCTCCCTCTCGCAATCCGGAACCTCTCAGGGCATGTTGGAGAGCCAGTTTCAGCCCAATCCCTGCAGGCCAGGCCAAGGTACCCCCACTGGTGCACAAATCCATGCACCAGGCCTCTAGTATGCATATAAGATCTTTGGTTAATCTCTTCCTGCCCCTCCTCCCCCCTTCCCTCTTAGATTCATCAGTTTGTTCCATGTTTCTATGCCTGTGTGTTGAGCGCCTGCCCCTGGTGGTCAGTGCACATCATAGATACCGGTCGAACAGTCAAACAGTTGCTTAGGCTTTTATATATATAGACTAGTGCCATGGTGCATTGATTCGTGCACATTGAAAGGGAATTAATTAGAAGAGATATCTTAATATCACTATTAGCCCGTTCACTATAATAGAAGTGTCAGAGATGAAAAAAATTAATAAAATATACCGTATTTGCCGGCGTATAAGACGACTGGGCGTATAAGACGACCCCTTAGCATTTCCACTCAAAATACAGAGTTTGTTATATACTTGCCGTATAAGACTACCCCCTCTTCCGCACACCTTCCACACACCAAATAAAAGGTAAAACAATATCAGATTTGATTTTAACATTTTAATTTATATTCAAATGCTTATGACATGCAGGAAAACTGTCACAAGGCTGTATGTAATCAAACATATACATAAAACAGTGCAAGTGTATTACCGGTAAACATACCGGTAATTCACTAAAGAAAACACACTCTATAGACTGGTACCGGAGATGCTTCTCAGGAACACAGGCAAGCAGCCCACAACCTCGAGGGACTGTCAATGATAGAAGTAAGATAACAAATAGAGGGAGAGAGCAAGTGCCGGGCAAGTCCCTAGCAAGTTTGCTGGCGTGACAGTTTCACCTTAAAAGCCTTCAAACTCCTCTTCATCATCTGATATTAAAAGTTCATCAACGACATCTTGGTGCCATGATAGGGATGATAGGGGTTTGACTGGTCGACATTTTCTATGCTGTACTGTACAATGGGGCAGTATTGTGGTTGGCTGTTAGCTGTATACAAAGCCTGATTTGATTGGTCCCTGCTCCCTGTTTGCCCGCCCTGTCACTATAGCAGTCTGGTCCACCCTTGCATCAGCCTCTCCCTGGGACCTCACTAGTGCGCAAGTGCGAGCTCTTCAACATTCTAACAGGCACCATGATAGCGCAAAATCGCGAATCGCGATACCATACTGGGTGTATGGTTGGCTGTGTGCGATTTTGCGAGTGTGGGAAAATCGCATAACAGCAAAATCGCATAACAGCCGAGCATATACCCAGCAGCGCTGCTGATGCCTGAACGGTATGTGGAATGAAGTGGGCGGGCATCGGGAGGCCACTATGGCACGGGGCAAGCACTATGGGCAGTCTATCTGAAGTGTACCTGGCGTATAAGACGACCCCCCACTTGGAGGCATATTTTTCAGGGCCAAAAAATCGTCTTATATGCCGGCAAATACGGTATATGAAAATAATATATAAATTTATTTTAATAAATAAACAATAACAACATGATATAACAACAACAAAGACATGATGTAACAACAAAAAAAACATGATATAAAAGCATGATATAAAAACAATATTGATACAAACAATGACTGATAAATTGATTAAACTTATTCTAATAGCTCCCTGTATACCACATTAAAGTAAAAGTACTTTCAGAGTGCTTGACTAATTTCTCTTGTGATGAAGTATTTACAACTTTAACGTCACATGCTCTTCAAACTCGAGAGAAAGCAACATATAACTGACCATGTCCAAAAACGGGTTTAGGTAGGAATATTCCTACTCTGTCTAGAGTTTGTCCTTGTGATTTATTAATAGTCATCACAAATGCTGGCATCACTGGAAACTGTCTTTGAATTAATTTAAATGGGAAGCCAGTGTCAGACAGGGACAAATCAATTCTTGGAATCAGAACAACTTCTCCTTCTGCAGCTCCTGTTAACACTTCAGCTTCGATTATGTTAGATCACAATCTTTTGATAGTAAATCTAGTACAATTACAAAGACCCCATTTACTATTAAGATTTCTCAGTAGCATGATGATTGTACCTAATTTCAATTTTAATTTATGACATGGCATTCCCGAAGGAGTAATAATATTAAGAAATTCGATGGGAAAATTTTCCTTTTTGGCATCATCCGTTGAATTGATGGAATCATCACTCAAATGGTATGTTGTGCCAATAGTTGGTCTTCAGATACATTTCGTTGACGATGGCTGCAGAGGTACATTGTGCCAATAGTTGGTCTTCAGACATATTCCCTCCTCCCTCCTCTCTGGGTCTGGGTGTGGGTGAACCAGATTTGGGGCCTATAGGGCCCCAGCAGCAAACTAAACCACGGCCAATTCCATGAGGAATCGGGCTCCCTCCACCCTCCTCTCTGAGTCCAGGGTGTGGGTGAACCAGATTTGGGGCTAAGCGGGCCCCAGCAGCAACCTACCAGTCAGAGTGTCTGTCCCCTGGTGGTCATTGTGCTTCATGCTGGTGAATGACCAAATGGTTGAACAGTGGAACAGTTGCTTAGGCTTTTATATCCTATATAATAAAAGGGTAATATGCAAATAGACTGAACGGCAGAACTGAACATCCAATCAAAGTGTAATATACTAATGATATGTTAAGACTGCTCAACTGCTCGCTATGATGCGCACTGACCACCAGGGGGCAGACAGTCAACTGGTCGACCAGCCACTATGATGTGCACTGACCACCAAGGGGCAGATGCTCCGACAAGTAGGTTAGCTTGCTGCTGGGGTCTGGTTGATCGGGACTGAGCAAGATGGACCCGACACACCCTGGAGCCCTCCCACGGTCGCTCCCCTGCCCGATTGTGCACCCGTGGGTTCCCTAACCCTCAGCCCAATCCCGCAGGCTACTTCTGTTGTACCCCTGAGAGCAGGAGTTTTCAAGCTGAAGAACTTAAGCTATAATAAAGTATTAAACAAAACAGTACCCAGCCCTTAGAGCAGGGGTTCTCAACCTGTGGGTCGTGACCCCTTTTGGGGTTAAACGACCCTTTCACAGAGGTCGCCTAAGACCATCGGAAAACACATATATAATTACATATTGTTTTTGTGATTAATCACTATGCTTTAATTATGTTCAATTTGTAACAATGAAATTGGGGGTCACCAAAACATGAGGCACTGTATTAATGTGTCGAGGCATTAGGAAGGTTGAGAACCACTGCCTTAGAGGGTTAGTCTGAGGGTCTTAAACTTGGTCATATTGGCAGGTGATACAACTCCTTAGATTATCAGCCCCAGGCAGCCCAGTTCGCCACAGCAGAAACAACTTGGCCCTCACGGATGGAAGAAGGATCCCTCTTGGGGCAAGTTATCAATGAAGCTGTTAGCAAGCAGTGGTATTACTAGCTCCTGCCAGAAATCACAGTCAGGATGCCTCTTTAGATAGAAGATGAACTGCCGGTGGGAATCTTGCCAGTCGTGAAGTTGAGTTTCCAGCTAATCTGGAGTTGCCCCAGAGATGGTCGATCTGATTGGTTAGGCAGGTTACTTAGCCTAGCCAATCAGAATATTCAGGAGTTCCAGTTGTAAATGTGTCGAACTTGGCCAATGCAGTGGCTTCTGGCAATGAAAACTAAAATGAAGCTCCAATGTACTACTGTAACCTCTTTTCCATCTCCGATGGGCAAAGCTACTTTCTTGCTTACTTTCCTTAAAGACCCAAAGTAACTCAAAGCTACTGTGGGGAAAAGAAAGCATTAAGAATTTGTCATTTCCGGATTATAGAGAACAACATAGACTGGTGAAAAGGGACAGACCCAAAGACTGAGAAACAGCGATCAGGCTATCAATCCCCAGAAGGAAAGTAGGGGAGGGCGGGGGTAAGGGGAAGAGATCAACCGAAGGACTTTTATTGGTGGCGTTGGCTCTTCTGGGTGTTCAATGAACACTGCATTTCCACCTTCTTGCTTTTGTCTTTTGTGGCTCGTGGAATAACTTCTCTCTTCTCTATCTGTACAGGCCAGCTTGAAACACCCTTCCCACTGGGAATCCGTCCCTGTTCATCACTATTTGCAGAATAATTGATTGTCTCTCCTTGATAGACTCGGTCACTTGGCTGCCTGGTTCATTATGTACAAACCTGTCTTCCCCACTGGAGTGTGTGTTCCTCAAGCACCATGACCCTGTCTTTGTCATCTTTGAATTCCCAGCACCCCAACAGTGCCAGGCTATGGTAACTTTTTAATGAATGTTTGTTAATTGAATGAACCAAGTTTCCCTTTTCTTGCTTCCTGGGATCATATGTAGAGACTAGAGGCCCAGCACACAAAATTTGTGCACTGGGAGGAGGGGTGGGCTGTGCCCTCTTGCAGTCTGGCACCCATCAGGGGATGTCTGCCTGCCAGCCTAGGCCTGCTCAGGACATCCCTCTCTCAGTCCAAGAGTCCTTGCTTCTTATCGCCTGCCTGCTCGCTGTTCCTTGTCTCTTGGCTCACTGTGCCTTAGCACTGCCGCAGAGGTGGGAGAGGCTCACGCCACCACCACTGTGCTTGGCA